CAGGACGACGTTGCATCACATCACGTACGAATAGTACAATAGTGTGCGCAGATGAGTCGATAGCCCCGAGTGGGAATCGACCGAGGGGAATAAAACGAATGGTCACATACAGAGAGACTCACCGGATGTCCCCCCACAATGGATTTGAAACATCAGATTTACGGTAGATGAATACAGTCGATTCAGTAGGTTCGCATTTAGCTCAGAGTTACTCGTGAGTGCTTCTCGTCCGAGAACAGTGGACAAAAGCAGTTGATCACGATGCAGTGGAAGTCGTGTACCTCAACTTCTCCAGAGCATTCCACAGAGTGAACCACGAAATACTGCTGAGGAAACCACACAACTATGGAATTCGAGGACTTGTATTGGATTGGATAGGAGAATTTCTACGACAACGCACCATGACAGTTCGCGTTTCTGGGTCACTTTCTGATTCCATCAGCGTATCACGAGGAGTTCCACAGGGATCCGTGCTTGGCCCTCAACTTTTCCTTGTTTTTATAAACGACCTAACGGATAGTATGAGGCCACAAACGTTAATGTTTGCATACGATGCAAAAATATGGAAAGCGGGGACAAAACCGGAGGACTCGCTAGCACTTCAGAGAACACTTAATAATGTCTATCAATGGTCGATCGAAAACGACATGAAATTTAATGCATCAAAATGTACGGTCGTATCCCTTCACCACAAAACTCGGTTTCCGTATTTCCTGGGAGATCGGCAAATTCCGTATGTCTCGAACGAGAAGGATCTTGGTGTCATTGTCCAAGACGACCTAAAGTGTTCAGTAAACTGCTCCCGAGCGTCGTCCACCGCTGTAAGACATGTTGGTTTGCTAAAGCGAGTATCTGGTAAATTTGAACCTACGCCGTTTCCACGGTTGTTATCAGCATACATTCGGCCCCATATGGAGTATGCGATTCCAGCGTGGCATCCATGGCTGCAATGCAATCGGAAGATTCTGGAACGTCCACAAAGAATGGCCACCAAAATGGTCAAGGGACTGCATTCCAAGATTTATGCGAAAAGACTGTAATCACGGCAACTGTAATCCACACAGGATCACCGCATTCGAGGGGACTTGATCATGGTGTGTCAAATAATGCAGGACCCAGAGCACCCATGTTGTTCATTCTTTGCATTTTCGCCCAACACTCACCTCAAGGGGGTACTCATTCAAATTAGTTCTCCAAAATTGCTGACTGGAACATCGGCATCATTCATTCACCCTCAGAGTGTGTACTGCTTGGAATTCTCTACCACCATATGTCGTTTCTGCGCCCTCAATCCATTCCTTCAATCACAAACTGGATGAAGCTTTAACAAGTCTTAAGTTCCAACATCCGTAGCAGTGCACGAAACTATGATAAATTGTGACATTCGTCTAGTTTCTATGATCCATGAATCGATTCATCCATGCTAATCCCTAAGGGACTAGAAAAGCAACCGCTTGTAGGTATTTCCCATAATAAAACTTCGACTTTGAGTGGTGGCTTTGGGTAATTAATATTGATTGATTAGAACTGGCCATCCTTCAGACATCAACTTCACTCACATTCTTCAGCGCTTCCAGTAAATCACACACTCGGCAGCTCTAGACCCTAGTTTCGCTCTTATTGGAGCTCCTCAGTAATGCATATCCAGCGTCCCGTCCGGGATTTAAACTCCGGACTCATCGCATAGTGTGTGTGTGCCACTACAGAGCCAATCAACTCATATCAGGGCTGAGCCGAATTGCTGAGGAATGTGTTTGAAGGTGAAGTCTGAAGGATAATTTCTAATCAATCAATTCAGTAGAGGAAAACAGCTATTTCCAAAGGATATGATAACATTCTAGAAAGTATCGTGGTCAAAGTTCAAGAATGTCACCTGAGAGAGATGATTCTCGGAGAAACATGTTCGTCATTAGCTTGAGCGTTTAACTTGATGCTGTGAGCTATGATTGACGAATATAATTCAAGCACTTAAAGAGTAGCTGATTGCCAGCCGTTTGTCGAGGAGAGCAGATTAGGTTATCCGATAGGGAAGAGGGAGCCACATATTTGAGATGAAAGAGACTCAAAGGTATGATTGATCAGTGCTAAACACTTCAGTGTTCTTTTTTGCTGTAATGTGGGAATAATGCATGCATTAGCCAATATGATAAAACGGTCTACCGTGGATCGATCAGCATAATTTAACTGACCCTATGCGGCACAGCTTCTTAATTTAGTCAACCGCGCTTCTTTCTGTCGTCAATCGCATCCATTTTCTAAACACAGAAACAATCAGGCTAGTGAGTTTCGCTACGCGCAATGTCAGATAAAAATCTTTACAGCTTCTTCAATTGCATTTACTTGAAAACAACANAAAAAAAAAAAACAATTTCAGGGCAAGTTATTAGTTTTGCTTTTGAACAGCAGCAAACGAGAGTGCAGTATCCCAGTGAAATTTATGTATTCATCAACCGATTTTTTCCACGATTACTGGCTTTCATTTCGAATTCAGACTTACTCAATTGGTAACTCAGATTTCAGTCCGAGGTATTTCTGACCAAAAAACCATGGCCAATGTAATTTATATAAGCCGTTTATTCGTTTGTTTATTTCTGGTCTGTCGTATTGCTGATACTTTCTGTGGTCGGTCACAGATTGCCGAAAAATGCTCCCCTGGTTGGTGATCTGTTATTTAAAGGAGATGACAGATATTCCATAGAGATAGATCGGCTTCCTCCGATGCACGAAGGAAACGTTGCTACTCTGAAGTGTAGTGTTCTTTCTGGCGGTTGCTACCGTTACAATGCTGTTTCATCAGGACGCGAAATATCCCTAGTAGCATAACCATGAAGCATTACCGGTAACTCATTCGAAACTCGTCCATTGCATCATGAGGTACCGTCAGAATTTCATCGTAAATCTAAAAAGATGACACTGATTAGGCTTCGGTCGTACCTTAACTTGTACGATTGGATGTTATGTCTATCGGACCAACCTTTGGAAGTCTAAACGATAGCATAATGCACATTTTAGGCATAATCAAGTACAAGCAAGTTAAAAATGGTGCTTTCCGTAATACAGAACTCACCGTGATTTCCACTCACAGCAGTAAACCATACCAAACTCGACTCATTTATTTCTTAGAACTTTTCTTGATTTTTGAGGTGGCGTCCTCCTTAGAATACATCAATGCTGACGAATTTTATCACAAATGTTCCATAGGACATGCCATTACAAACAGTCGTAATTTGAATACCAAGTGAGTTTGTCTCGGAACTGTGAGTCACATTAGGCTTATTCAACATATTCGACAAATTCTTCTCATCTCTGATGGATAGAATCATTGTCGTGTCATCAGCGAGAGGTGATGGGCTGAATGTGACCTCGCACGTTGGTTGGTCAATTGCCAAGCCACATTTTAATAAATGATAAAGGAATCGCAATATACTGTAGCGGGAGTACAAAATCATAACAAAAGATACTGCATATATAAACGGTTTGGTTTGATGAAAGTGATAAAATATTAGCAAATGTGAAATCCCATAAATGTGAAGCTGTACGAGACAAATATTCACGCAAGTGGTAACAAATGCTATTACGTTTTATTTTTGATTTAATAACTCGCCTACTGACTATTCCAAAGTATATAACCGTTGGAAAATGATATTTCAATCCATAAATGAGGGATAGACGTGGTTTAAGAGAGTCGAGCGAACGCCGGCTGATGACAACCCAGGTAACGCACGTTGGAAAAGGCGAGTCGGTAACAAAACGCCACGAAAAAAACAAGTCTCGATTGAAAACTGAGTCATTAAGGGAATAAGTGCTTATACCAGAGGGTTGGGACAGCCAGGTCGAATGCGCGGGGGTTAATTTTATCACATTTCCAAAGTGCTCCCTCTCGGTTACGCTTTGTGTTCGTTACTACTAATCAGTAGTAATGGATGGTCATAAATATCTCACAATATTGCTTTAGTAACTTTTATTGCTTAAAAGTTTCGCTCGTGATCTTTTAAAGGAAACTAACTTGTTCCTGGACCTTTTCCTGAGTTCGAGTTTAGCGTTTAGCAGCCCTAAAGCATTTTTAAAATCTAGCAAAGCTTTCTTTTACGCATGCGTATTAGTCGGTGTTTATCCATTTTCAAAATCCAACAAGATGATAGTGTATGAGTTCACCAAGGTTCACCCATCACATCGGATTAAATAATGATGAGCCCTCACGCATATGGGATCAGTGGTTGTGGAGAGTGTCTCTCAGGGAATTAAGCGTGATAGCTGTGGAATCCGGTACAACCAATGATGCTCCCAATGAAGTAAATGCATTTGAAGCACAATTTGCTGAACTGGGCATGCAACCACTGCGGTACTCTTACTGAAGAGTTCAAGAGAAGATCACAGTGGTGTCCCAGAGCGAGGGCAATAGAGCAAAACTGGAAGAAGTTGCTAGTTTCAGGCCATCCACAAACAAAAGTCCATCACTAAGTCAAGTGGGAAATTAAATCCAAGCGGACAAACTGAAGGCTAAGAAGCCCTTGGTAAAAACTGAGCTACAGTCCGACTGTCTGGCTACGTTGTCTAAAATTGAACAGTTGGAGAAGGAATTTCATTTACTTAAAAGGAGTAAAGAAATCGACTTGAGGAGAAATAAGAACTTGTTCCTGCATAATTGGTGGAACCAGCTATAAACATAGCGAGAGCGAGGCATGAAGCTGAGAATTGCCATGTTCTGAACGTATTTTGGTTGGGAGGGATACCCTAGAATACCCAGTATACCAAGTGCCATAGAGTGAGACTTCGGAAGAGAGATGAATTGCGCAGATCACGGCCTTTCCTACAGGTGTTCTTGAAAACATATGAGATGGGAATTTTTATCCAAAGCTTCTAGGATAGATGATAACTCTAAGTGATGCATAGTGGTCACCTATGATGAACCAAATAGGAAGGGACCACCAGAGATCAAATGTGAGGTTCGGACAACCACCAAAAGCTCGAAAACTATTGTAATTGGTGTATCTAGGGTCATGGGGCCTTTAAAGAACTTCACATCCCAGAGCATCAATAAGGGCGTAAGTTTAGGACAAATGATGGGGAAGGGGTTAAAGGAGATGGGATAATAAGTGCGACGCCGACGGTCGTACTACAGGATTTAACCCGCATACAGCAGTGCAGCACTTCATGTAAGAAAAGTAGACGCATCTCAGGGTGTATGGAAATAGGATACAGTAGGCTTTGAATAACCAGAAACCTGGGTCACATTAATTGCCAGATCTGCAGCTCTTTGGTCATAGGACACAATAAGCACTTCAAATGCCAAATGCCAACCGGGGGGTTAACGAAGCCTCCAGATAACGATAAAAGTTGTCTCTCAGGAGAAGAGCGGACTCGTTTCGTAAGTGCAGTAAGCTACAAAAACGACGAAACAACTTACTGGAGCAGACATTTTCGCACTGTGGTATACCAATGTGGGTAACATAGGGGGCAAGTGAGGAGAAATGAAAAGACCTTCATTGGTATTGAAATAACGGCCGTCACCGAATCTTGGATAGGACAGGACCACGCCCCCCAAACCAAGGGATGGGTGATTGTACAATCGATAGCAATGATAGAATCGATGGCAAACAGGGCAGAGGGGTTCTTATCCTAGAAAAGTCAAAACCTATTCTGTAGGAGGCAATGTCACTTCGAACGTCTCCCAACACACAGTTCATCAGTTGCGTATTGGAAATAGACAGCAATCCACGTTCGTGTACCGAGCTCCGCAGGAAAACGCAACAAAGGATTAGAAGTCAGTTGCTTAATTGCAATTAGTCATGGGTACTTCACAGAGAGTGTTAGCAATAGAAGATTTTGATATATCACAGATAAACAGGAACAAAGACCGGGTATCAGCCGGTACCGGGGGAAGACTGCTGCTGGATCGGCTGAAACAACACGCGCTACCATGATACTTGCGATAAGCCACGCGGCTGAGAAAAGATGACAGGTCGTCTATACTGGATCTAGTGATCACAATAACTCCAAATGATCATCAAGTATATAACTCTGGACAAAATCCTGGGGAAGAGTGTTCACGTGATCCTGCAGCTAACACTTGAAGTCTTTCACAACAAACTGGAGGCCGAAGTAGTGTAGCGCAATGGAAAAATAAAACAGGGCAAACCAATTAGAGCTGCATGGGATATGAAATGGGCTCCCGAAGCAACTCTGGAAACCAGGTGGTATCATATCAGGGTTGGGCTAGTTCAACTTACTGACCGGTTGGAGACCCTCGTTCCATACAGAAAGAAACATAGTCCTATGTGGAGAGAGGTAAATACAGATAGGGCTATAGATACTTATTGAAGACGGTGGGGAGCCTGCAGAGTGTATGTTACCCACCAATAGCGGAATAGTTACAAAACACGCGCAACTCCTCACACAAGATGCAAATGATGGTTATGCGCCAACACAAAGGTAAGTTGAAGAAAAGCGTCAAGCAAAATCTTTAGCGCCATTACGTATTTATCCAATATAAAGGACAGATGGTTGGTGCTTTGGAAACGGCACCCGGAGACGCAGTAGCGACTAAGAAGGATAGGTTCTTTTTAAAAATAAGTATAAGATCTCCAGATAACCTTCCACCTGTAGAAGTCACCCCCATAAGGAAACCGTTAAATGTACGATTTGGGGAGGTGCAGCGTGGGATAAAAGCTGTGGTGGTCGTGTAACGACTGCGCACGCACGCACCACGGTACAGCTTCCAGGTAACCAATCAAGAAACTGACTAACCGACCAATCCTGTGGTATCAATTGGCACCATCCGGATTGGCTAAATGCAAGAGGGCAAACAAATAAACCATATCCTTGTCGATTGAACATTCAAGAATCGACCAATGATTGTTTGTTGTTTGTGATATATATTTCCATAGTTTTCTGAATAGAACTAACTGTGTTCACAGCTCGTTTTGGTTCTGCTTGACTTTGCGCTATTCAGTAGGTTTTCAGTCCGATACGGAGTTCGCGCTATTTGGTTTCGATTCCTATTCGGAATACTACAAAAGCTCACGAAAGGCTAAAAGTAGCAAGGTCTGACAGATTGAACACAGCAGTTGTTCAAACACTAACAAACGTCATAGTATCAAGCTGTGTCGGTTACGTGGTCAAAGAGTATGGACCTTTTTGCACACAAAGTATTTTATTGACCTAAATTTGGTCGTCCCTTTTCAGTACGCTATCAGACAGGTGTGAAGATAGTAGTCGATTGTGTTTCATGCAAACCTGGTGGATATCACACAGTCCATTCAACCAAAACGCGCAACGGGACATCCATCAAACTTGACCAGTGAGAATCTAACATTGCGGCTTCGATAAACCGTGATAGCCTGATGGAAAGATATAGTTGCTTCCAGTTCAATGCTGATAGACAGATTGGGAAATAAAAAATTCTTAGAGGTTTACATCGTTCCGATGAATAAAATTGAGGTAATAAGAGTAATCACAACTTACAAAGGAGTCATTCAATCGCTCCACCTGATCGGCGACCTGTGGATTGTAGGTGATCGTATGACTGACTGTCACTTGCTTACCTAGCAGGAAGGTTGACAGTTAGGTGGATATGAGTTGGCCTGTTGAAGACTGAGAATAGTTATCAGAAGCAGTTAATGACTAGATACGAGTGCATAGATAGGTAGACAAACAAGTATGGGAACCGGAAATACTCGCTTATGAGCGTTAGAATTTATCGATTGCCAGAGGCCGATGATAGTGGCCTTTTGAAATCGATTATGAGCCTTTCAAATGGCTGCATAGTCTAGATAAGGCGCTTGATAAGAGGTTTATCATGCGCAGTTCCAATTTAATGTAGATGCTGCACTTAAAAATCAGTGTTTCAACTTCTTCAAATGAGTGTGGCAAATTTTTAGAGCAAACAAAGTGGGTCATAGGCGTGATTCCAGCCTGGAATAATGACCCTCTGGACGTGCACGTTGGTAGCTCATATATTGCGAAAGAGCGTGTCTGATACGGTGTTGTCTCTGTTGAATCGTTATACCATGTCCTGGTGTCATAATTGCCGAAGGCGGTGTTGGTTGAGGATAATTGTTTATTGTCAATGGTCAGGATATGGTTACATTGTCATTGATATAACAAAATATCTCACTTAGAACAAGTCTGCAGAATTCCCGCAAACACACATGATATGTAATGGAACCGTCTACCATCAGATGCGTATTCTTGTATTCACCATACCGAACAGCACTAGTTTGCTCCAACAAGTCTTGTTCATTTTTGGTCGTTGAATGAAACCGCTAATCGCATCTTTTTGCGTACTACTCACTTGTGAGTAGTATCTCATAACACCAGTAGTAAGCTGACTGCTCCAGTTTCCATCTCCGAATTTTGTCTTTTTTCAATTGTGTGTTTATTATCGAATATATAGGTTACGGAACATTGGTCCGTAATAGGTTTTAAGTGTCTGACCAGAGTTTACTGTCGCCACTTGCAAGTCAATTCTATGATGGCACAAGTTTCCTTTTCAACAGCGGAGTAATGTCGTTCACTCTATGTCAGAATGCGCAAAACGAAAACCATAGACCAGCTATTTTGAGGGAACGACGCGACTTTGGCTGCATCAGAAATGTCTCTTTCTACGACCGAAGGTACCTCATGGTCCGCGGTAACAAGCATGATGTTTTTCAAGTTTTGTTTTAGTCCTTCAAATGTGTTTCTAACGGATGTTGATAAAGGGAGTGTGTTATTCTGAACGAGTGGATTGATTTTGTCTGAAAAGTTGTTTTGTGCACCATGAGTAATAGGCAAAATAGATTGCAAGTATTCAAACAGACATATGGATGTGGAACACAGTTTATCTTACTGTACTCCATGAGTACGGACATAGTAAAATAATGACTATTGGGCACCAATGAAAATCGGACTGTATTTATTGTTATTGTACGTTGACTGCGATGAACGCAGATGTGTACAAGACGTGATGGTACAGATTCCATACGATGAAGGTAATATTAAAGGAGGATATATGTTAAATTATGTTGCCAATCCATTCGTGAATGGTTACTGATAAGATTTTCTAGTTTTTCCATGCACCCAGTACTTGAAATCGGTGCTTGAGTAATGCAGTTTCGTAGTATTTGAGGACCATTGAACACAGGCTTCTTTATATCAACTTTGATCTAAGCCACATGGAATGCAATTTACATCACGAAAACTCCGTTCGTGTTTCAAATATATATATATATATATATCGGTATCGTACACGATTGACCAATTCGATTCTCTTTGGTGTGGAATCTTTTTGGCTGATCATGTGCAGCGTGATTTCCTAGGGGATAGAAAGAACATGAAGGGATTGGGTCATACGAAAACGCAAGACAGCCTTCATATATGTCAACATCGCGACTAGGTGAATGTGCAGTGATCAACATCTCAGTTGGATATTGAAAAAATCTATCCTTTGACTCTCTTGTTTCGGTGGGAGTAGACTGAATAGATAGCGTCAAGTATATTGCACAGATTTTGACAATAAAGATCGCGACTACTAAACCACAAATGCAGAAGCTGTGATTCAACCGTTAGTTTGGTGTCAAAATAGAAATAAAACCTCAAATCCTGGGGAGGGAAGATCAGGCGCACAGCTTGGCTTTACCACAATAGTGGATGAAGCCGAATCTGAAATGCCGATGGCTCAGTTTTTAAAACTGAAGACAACAGAATGAATGACAAACAAACTTCGAAAATTAGATTTATATGCCTCACTTAGGAGGTGTGACAATGACCGATTAGTCCGCAAATCTTGTCATATTGTTCTTTGTTTGCGTATACGAATGCATAAACTCGCGCGAACGTGACCACTTAGAATATACCGGATCATTGTTGTATCAAAGCTACTTGATGGTGGTGAACGCACACAGCAAATGAGGGAAGAACGTGGCAACCGGTGGAATGATCAACACCAGATGAAGCCTGTTCAGCAGATTTAGGATTTGTCCATCCATAATCGAACGGATGAGCTGGACGACCCAGGACAAGTTCAGACAAGTAATGCAACAATTAATAGGGACGGGCAAAGACG